TTTTTGTACTTTCTTGGCAAATTTTTGAAAAATCCGTGCTGTCCAACGACCAATCGCTTAGATTTAGTGTCTGAAAAATCCTGAAAACATCCATACATTTTTTTAATAAAGTGAGGTTTTCCTCATTTCAAGCCGAAGATTTATTCTTTCGAGTGATATTCTGGGCAGGCTTGAGAAATTTTTGGATTTTTCTTGAAAAGTTTTTTAAATTAGTCTATCTATACCACCTGGCAATCGCTTCCCCTTAGTTACTGAAAACATCATGGAAACTCCCGGCAATTTCCTATTCAAATGAGGTTTTCATGATCTAAAGCCGCAGATTTTCTCTTTCAAATGATGTGATGGGCTGCATTGAGGAATTTTTTGTATTTCCATGGCAAATTTTTGAAAAATTCGTGCTGTCCAACGACCAATCGCTTAGATTTAGTGTCTGCAAAATCCTGAAAACATCCATAAATTTTTTAATAAAGTGAGGTTTTCCTCATTTCAACCCGAAGATTTATTCTTTCGAGTGATATTCTAGGCAGGCTAGAGAAATTTTTGGATTTTTCTTGACAAGTTTTTTAAATTAGTCTATCTATACCAACGGGCAATCGCTTCTCCTTAGTTGCTGAAAACATCCTGGAAACTCCCAGCAATTTCCTATTCAAATGAGGTTTTCATCATCTAAAGCCGCAGATTTTCTCTTTCAAGTGATGTGATGGGCTGCATTGAGGAATTTTTTGTATTTCCTTGGCAAATTTTTGAAAAATCCGTGCTGTCCAACGACCAATCGCTTAGATTTAGTGTCAGAAAAATCAAATCAAAGAAAATTTTCTCTTTCGAGTGATATTCTGGGCAGGCCTCAGACATTTTTGGCTTTTCCTTGATTTTTTTTAAATCGGTCTATCTATATTAACGGTCAATTGCTTCCCCTTAGTAACTGAAAACATCCTGGAAACCCTCGGAAATTTCCTAATAAAGTGAGTTTTGCCTCACTTAAAGCAGCCGACTGTCTCTTTCGAGTGATCTTATGAGTGGTATTCAGGAATTTTTGGTTTTTCCCTGGAGAATTTTTGAAAACTCGGTGCTGTCCAACAACTAATCGCTTCAATTTAGCATCTGAAAAAATCCTGAAAACTCCCAGAAATATTGACCAACACCAGTCTGTCCGAGTTCACTCCCATAGTCCTTCTTCACCCCCAATGACCGGTACCCTCTTTCCAGAATCACCGAAAATCCGAAATTTTTGGAAGTAAATAAAAAAATGGACTTGCTTTTGGAAAATATCAGCGAAGTGGCACAACGAACTCTAGCAGATTGGGCCCAAGATCTGCCGTCCCAAATAGAAAATAGCCTCAAGTTGAGCCTGCTGATCCACAACGCGAAAAGCAAAGAGCTTCGTCTGAATTTCAACACATATCTTTCGGCTATCCTGAGGGAGGTTCACTACTTAAACCTCATGAATATTACTGATATACCGACAGAGGCTCTTGAACTGGCGAAGAAGAATGAGACATTTAGAAAGTACATTTCAAATTTAAATTCGACCATAGCGTGGTATAATAAGATTAGGCGAACCACTAGAGCTGTAGAGTTCGATCTTATTAAGAATGAGATTAATGCGATTGATCAGTTAATTTATTTTGGACAAAATAGCTTAAACTGGAACTCAAATGGTAATTGTTTTAATGATTACCATTTTTTATTGAGTAATAATTCATCATTTTCAAGACCTGTGGGATTATATAATAAACCTCCACAATCTAGTAAAGAGGCTTCAAGATAACTTAGCTAAGTGTCAAGCAAATCTAAGCGATATCAAAGCGGCTTTGATACCCTTTGCACGAAAGCCGCTCTTTGAGAGGAAGGATGGAAAGAAAGATGAGTTTCTCTGCCTTGACGATAAGGAAATTAGGAAAATGAGGCGCCATTCCGAGATCAATCAAGCTACTGAAACAATAAAGCATTTGCTGGATGCTAACATGGATCTTTTTGGTATGAGCGGTCAACCAGATAAAAAAGAATGGACTAATTACGTTGACTTCGTTGACAAGATAGTTCTTAACTACTTGTATCAATCAGTAGGGTGCAGGTAAATTTTGCACATTTTCAGCCAGCAATAATTCTCAACAGTTGCTTTCCGATTGCAGCTTGGGCTACATAAACGAACATATGGATTCGTCAAATAACTTAGCACCACTCTTTCAGTGCCAATTACTTCTAAAAGAACCAGAAATCGCGTTCGTTCCGTCTCTAGACGCAAATGATCCAGAAGGTTTCAACGCATTAATGAGCGGCTTACTCAGAACTATCATCGATACTACCGCTATAGTACCGAGATTCTCAGTCACAGCCACAGAAATGTACAAAGAAGAAATTGAGAGGAATGAAGACATTGTCGATATTAAATCCGACATTTCACAGAGCGTTGATAAAGTTATGGAGGAAGCATGCGACTTTTGCAATGAATTTCAAAACTACTCGTATCTCTGGCTGGAAGATAGACACGATTTTCTGAACCAAATTTTAAACTATGGTCGTCTATTGACAAATGAGGAGCTGGATCTAATTGCAATGAAAGATGCGAGCGCACCTAAAGTAAGTCCCCCGAAAATGGAGGCCTTCAGAGAGCAGATTGATAACTTTGAAGCTCTATTTGCTGAAGTGGAGAGTATAAAGGAAAAGGAAATATTAAGTTCATGGTTTCAATTGGATATCAAGCCCTTTAAACATGCGTTGCTCAATACAATACGCAAATGGGGTGATATGTTTAAGCAGTATTTGGTAAATACCGTCACCAACAGCTTATGCGATCTTGGACAGTTTATTCGATCAGCTGATGAAGGCTTGCAGCAATCAGTGCAAGAAGGCGACTACCAAGCCTTAGTTAATGTTATGGGCTATTTATTTCATGTAAAAGAGCGACAAGCTAGTACCGACGAAATGTTTATCCCTCTAAAGGAAACTATCGAGCTGCTAAAGTTGTATGACCAAGATATACCTGAAGAGGTGAACGTCTATCTGCAAGAGCTACCAGAGCAATGGAACAATACAAAAAAAATAGCAATTACAGTCAAGCAACAACTTGCGCCACTGCAAGCTGCGGAAGTCACCTGTATTCGTAAAAAAATCCAATTATTTGATAATAAAATTCTGATTTACCGTGAGGTGTATAAAAAATACCACTTTTTTAAATACGAATGCCCCAATCCATATGAAACGATTGATAAGGTTGACAAAGATCTGCGGAAGTTGGAGCAAGAAATGATGTCCATACAGGAATCTGGATCGCTATTCGAAGTTAATGTTCCAGAATTTAAACCACTCAAACAGTGTAGGCGAGATTTACGATTGCTGAAGGTAAGTTCTCGAAATGATGGGACTTTTTTGGCATTGCAAATTGCAGCAACTCTGGGACTATGTCCATATAGTTCACACTTGTGTGAATGACTGGAAGACCACTCCTTGGCGAAAAATCGACGTGGAAAATATGGACATTGAGTGCAAAAAGTTTGCTAAAGAAATCAGGATGTTGGACAAAGAGATGCGCGGGTGGAACACTTATACCGGACTAGAATCGACTGTGAAAAACACTCTAACTTCCCTGAAGGCAGTAGGCGAGTTGCAAAATCCAGCAATTCGAGAAAGACATTGGGATCAACTCATGGTGTCCACCAAGGTAGTACATTTACGAGATTTAATTGGGTCTGTACATAATGTAAATACTCGCACACTATGTGTATATATGTACAAAACTATCACTGTATATAGCATCAACATATTAACCAAATTTGTTCCAGGCTCTTGCAGCCATACCTCAAGAATTTAAAGTAAGTTTCATTAAACCGGCACACCATCTGCCCATATGCCCTTATCTCTTATACTAAGGCACGCCTTTTATCCTTAGCTAGCTGCCACGTATACAAAAAAAAATTGCAATTGGCCTAAAGAATCAATCTAATTCGTATGTCACAAATCTTTGCGTTTTTAGACGAAGATAGTTATGGATTACAATACAACATTGGCAGACCTTCTGGAGTTAAATCTCCACGAATGCGAGGAAGAGGTGAAAAATATCGTGGATAAAGCCGTTAAAGAAATGTCGATGGAAAAGATATTAAAAGAATTAAATTCAACCTGGTCCTCGATGGAATTTGAGCATGAAACCCATCCAAGAACCGGCTGCACTCTTCTCAGGGCTAGCGAGGAACTGATTGAAACATTGGAGGATAACCAAGTGCAATTGCAAAACCTTATAACATCAAAATTTATTGCTCACTTTCTGGAAGAAGTCTCGTCGTGGCAAAATAAGCTGGGTCTTGCTGATCAGGTAATTACAGTTTGGTTTGAAGTGCAGCGCACGTGGATGCATTTGGAGTCGATTTTCATGAGCTCGGAAGATATAAGGAATCAACTGCCTGAGGATTCAGAACGATTTGATATAATTGATCGAGACTTCAAGGAACTGATGAAAGACATATCGAAAGTTCCGAACGTTGTGGAGTCTACCAATAAAGCCGGTCTTTTAGAGATTTTGGAGGAACTGCAAAGAAACCTTACCCTATGCGAGAAAGCACTGGCAGTGTATCTGGAAACGAAACGATTGGCATTTCCCAGGTTTTATTTCGTTTCCTCCGCAGATCTTTTGGATGTTTTATCTAATGGCAATCAGCCTAAGCAGGTGGCTAAACATTTGACTAAGCTGTTCGATTCTATTGCTCATTTGAAATTTAGTACCGATGATGCGGGAAATATCACAAATGTAATTGAAGGAATGTACGCCAAAGATGGGGAGTACGTTAAGTTTCATGAGAATACTGACTGCTGTGGGCCGGTAAGTAGTGCGATTGTATTCTACGCATAAACGTAGTAGAATTTCGGAATGTAGGTTGAGGTTTGGCTAAATAAAATTCAAGCGGCTATGAGATCAACGATCCGAACTGATATCGGTGAAGGAGCTCTGTCCTACGAAGAAAAACCCAGAGATCAATGGCTGTTCGATTTTCCAGCCCAAGTTTCACTTTGTGGCACTCAGATATGGTGGACCACAGAAGTAAATATTGCATTTTCCCGCTTAGAGGAGGGATATGACAATGCAATAAGGGATTACTATAAGAAGCAAGTGACTCAACTCAGCACGCTGATTTCCCTGTTGCTTGGAGATCTCACGAAGGAAAGCAGACAAAAAATTATGACTATTTGCACTATAGATGTCCACTCACGTGATGTGGTAAGCAAGCTAATTCAGAGCAAGATTGAGAGCGCATTAGCCTTCCAATGGGTGTCCCAGCTGCGACACCGATGGTGCGAAAAGGAGAAACACTGCTTTGCAAACATATGCGACGCTCAGTTTACATATAGTTACGAATATCTGGGTAATACCCCAAGATTGGTAATAACACCATTAACCGACAGGTGCTACATTACCCTCACACAGGTGCGCCATCAACCTCATCTCCTTCCTCCAAACTGCAATCGTTCTTATGTACTTTTTAGTCGCTCCATTTAGTAATGGGCGGCGGGCCAGCAGGACCAGCTGGAACTGGAAAAACTGAAACCACCAAAGACCTCGGTAGGGCCTTAGGAATAATGGTGTATGTATTTAATTGCTCCGAGCAAATGGACTACAAATCATGCGGCAACATCTACAAAGGCCTGGCTCAAACTGGAGCTTGGGGCTGCTTCGATGAGTTCAACCGAATATCCGTCGAAGTTCTATCAGTCGTAGCTGTTCAAGTAAAGTCCGTTTTGGATGCGATTAAAAACAAAAAAGTCACTTTTGATTTCATGGGCGACATGATCAACTTGGTTCCCACTGTGGGCATTTTTATTACCATGAATCCGGGTTACGCCGGAAGAACTGAACTACCCGAAAATCTCAAGGCGCTCTTTAGGTACACATGACTTCCATCTTTTTCTGGTTTTTC